CCAAATTTAGACAGGTCACTATAAAGTATCAACTTTCTACTAAGATGCGCCAAATTAGACAGGTCGCTATAAAGTATTAACTTTCTACTAAGATGCTTCAAATTTAGACAGGTCACTATAAAGTATCAACTTTCTACTAAGATGCGCCAAATTTAGGATAATGTAACACAAAATAATTGGTTTTTATTGGCAAAAAAAATTTTATATAGTAATTACAAAATATATTACTAATAAAACTTTTTTATTTTTTAATTAATTAATAAAACAATTTTTATAATATTATAAATAAATTATTTATCTGTTATAGTAAAATTTTGAACTGTTATATTATATATATGATACAGTTTAATTTGATTGGTTAATTTATATAAATTTATTTTTTTAATTTTATTTTATTTTATTTTATTTTTTTTCTCTTAAGCAGTCATGGTAGTACTTTATTAAACCATTTGTAGCTACATTTATAAATACAGAATATCATTTAACTTATAAGTCTACCATCATCCGGCCATCTAAACGGTACCTAAATGTGACCTGCCGCACTAATCCAGTTAGAACTAGAAATTATAACTTGTCTGACCCCCACCCTACAATAGGATACTGCCAATCTGGAGACATCTTCTCGTAAGGAAGAGAAAAACAAAAAAAAAAGAAAATAATTTTAAAGTTGGGAAAGAGAGGAACGAAAATAGGGAGTAAAATAAAACTAACAAAAAGAAAATGAAACTAATCTATAAGGAGAATAAAGAAAGAAACCTACTAACAGAATAAAATTCTATTCTATGATTGTTACTCATTACAATGTTTTCATATTTTTATAGGCTATAACTATTCTCTAGAAACTAGGTACTCTTAACTAGAATGAAAACTAGATTCATTTGTAGGATGGAGTTTGAGTCAGACACTTTTTATATAGGAGAATCTTCAAGTAGGTGGGATACTGTGTCATTGTTTGAAGTGCACTTAAGTAGTCCAATTCTTCATAAACCCTTGTATCCATTTTTTTAAAAATATTATGCACATGGCCTTGGAATATATGCATATCTCAATATATTTTTGGTCTTTCTGAATTAAATTCTTTTTCAATCTACTTCACATGATTGGCTGACTCATATGTTTGTTGCATTCCTTATTTGTCATGTCCAAACAAACATATAACTGAAAAAAAAAGTAATGCATAATGTCGATCTTTTGATAGAGGTGAGCCAAATTCCCATTTTTTCAAAAAAAAAATGAAAAAAAATGAAAAGAAGGTATATTGTTGTTACAAGAGTCCAAGTCAAGGAGAGTTTTTCTAGTTGTTCTTCTTTTTTTTCTGCTTCTAATATTCTTAAGTAGAGAATTAATTTTGTCTCTACTTGCTTTCAGAATATTCTTTCAGTTTGGATGTCGAATATGCGAGGGAATCCACCAAACAAAAAACTTAACCCAAGGCAAGAACTATTCAAGTTTTGTCTGCTTCTCGGTGTATCATGTATTTGAGCTTTGTTGACAGCAAGTTTACTTAATATAAAACTAAAAATATTATCCATTTTGGAACCAGAGTCTTCAATCTACTTTCAGTGCCAACTTGGTCCAGGTGATCGTTAGAAAGAGTTGTTGATTTTATTGATATTTAAAGATGTTTTTTTTTAATTTTATTATATATCTAATATATATATAGTTTTATAAGTTAATGTTTTAAAAATTCATATCTTGATGAGTTTTTAACCAATTTTAATAATTTTATTATTATTAGAATCAGAAAGACCTACTCTACAACTTTTATATAAGGATTAAAAATTATTTACTTAATATATTTTTTTTAAACAATTAAATATAAAAAAAACTTATAAAAATTTGCAACTAATTATATATAGAAATGATCAACGTTGTACTCTACCCTTAAACGGTTATAACAAAAAAATTCTCTTTCAAAAATGTAGTTTAGGTTACAAACTATCAATTTGAAAGAGGATTTTTGATTTAATAATTTTTTGTTAAGTTATAACATTTTTAAACCAACTAATTAAACGTGGATATCTTAAGCTCTTCCGTACTGTATAAAAATTATTTTTATTTATCGAAGTTGGAAAATAGTAATATGAACTTTATGATTATAAAATGAAATTTTCTAAAAATACCGGTATGTTTTCAATAGTCACATGCAAAATATTTTGATTTACTAACATGGCTCAGTCTTTTCAAAAGTTTTAGAGGATTTGATCTTTGCCAAGTTTTGACTTTTCCTAAGGATTTCAACTTTACCAGGGGCTTCGCCAGAGTTTTGCCGTTTCGCCTTTCGCCAGATTTAGTTTTGTCTTTCGCCATTTGCCAAAAATAGTTTCATCTGCCAATATAAGTAGAGACATCGATGTTAGCTAACTAAGAAGTTTACCCCAGTATGTCATCATATATGATAACGAGCAGGGAGTTTATTCAGAGTGATGCCTGGTTTTTTTCTTTGTTAACCTAACTGGTTTAAATCATGAACCGTGATATTGTACTGTTCATTTCAAATGGTGCTTCCGTAGCTGGCATGAAAGCTGATAGGTTATAGGATCAGCTGTAGGTTAAACTGACACACTGTAAAGTTCTTTAGTGAGCACTAGTTATTTTATAATGAAGGTCACTGGTTTCTTCTTGTCCACTTCGAAGCTTGATGCCAGTAATAGCTACTACACGGAAGCTTATTCTTAGTGGATAGAATGATAGATGCCATACAGTGAATTATAATCTAAAGTTTTGATACTGAAGTTGCTGAACTGCTATGCACACCGAAAGAAAATGCAGTAAGTGTGACCACTGCTTAAAAGTTGTGGCACACTAGGCTGAATAAATATGCGTTTCGAAAGGAAAAACCGAAATCCTGATCGAAGAAGAAAAGTTTTGACACACTGGAATTGGAATTCCTACCGATTGGACATTCTGATACGATTTTATGTTCTTTTAATATTGATAAAAAGAACTAGTGACTGTAATGGTCATGAAGTGGTTAGATGCCTTAGGCGTAAACCCTTAAAATCATGCCAAAAGTCATGCCCAGTAATATATCTAGACGAACGGTTCAGATTGGTAATCAAGGTTCAAGTTGATTTAATCGTAGAGCCGGTCGCAATTTAATAGTGCGAATGTACTATTACGTATAGTTGGTGGTAGAATAATTTAGCAAATCAATACGGTTACATGACAATTATAAAATTTTATCTTGCAAAAAGATTAATCTAAAGTCAATGTTTTTAGAGCAATAGTAATAATGAAATAAATAACGATTCATTTTAACATCTTGGCTATTTTTTGGTAATTTAAATAAGTTATAACATTTGGATTATTGGCTTAGTCTCATAAACGCTTTTTATAGGAAATTATTGACTTATTGGTCCAACAGAAATAAAAAACAAATTCTTGTAAAAAAATCGAATTTGTCTACAAATATAACTAAAAGAAAACGTATAAACAATAAAATTTTAAGCGATTCATGTTATTCATTAAAAAAATTTTTTTGAAAAACTTAGATAACAGGGGATGGGACTATATATTATATAGTCCCATCCCCTGGGTGTCCCCAAATACGCTAAAAATAATTTTCTTTTTTAGGACCCCGGTGGTTTATTCAATTTTAATAATTTTGATTGGTCGAATACATGTCGATTCTCACTGAACATCACCATCACCGAACATCACGTATACGTAGAAAATTATTTGATTGCAGGAACCGGTTTTATTTATGAGAGTTTCAAATTCTATAGATAAATAATAAAATAAATACATCAAAAAGTACCTATAACCTAGGTTTAATGTGAAAAGCAACAGACTTCGGGTGGTCGTACAATTGTACAATATTACATACATATATTATGTCACGTTGATCATACCAACTTACTAATATAAAGAAATCTGATGTTGGTCTTTAAAAAAATTTATTATCAATATTTATTTAATAATTATTTATTACTACATAATTTTAATGGTCGAGATATCAATAACCTATTGCCCTTTCGATGGTTATCAATTCTTAGAAGAAGATACAAAGTGTAAATTTTGTGATTTTGATAGGTAAAAAGAACAAATATAATGATTTCAAATTCTATAATATATCAATGTTCCGTTGACTAAACATGATTTGGGTGAATGAATATTATATAGATATCGTGCATGGGTATGCATGAGAACGACTTAATATATATTCGTAGATGTTTTGTAAGAGATGAAAAAAACAATTAATAGTGATTTGAACTATAGAGTTTGTTAAAAAATTCACCATTCAAAAATGAAAAGAAGCCACCATGGCGAAAATTATTATGGATAAAGCAAGATTATCCAGATGACCATGTAGATGATACTTTTTTAGATGAATTACAAAAAAATGGTTCGTTAACCTATATATCTTTAATTGTTTTCTCGAGTTAATTATTTAATATTGAATATTTTTATTCATATATTGAAGTCAACGTTAGAGCATACGATTATTGGACTGTCGTTATGGAATCAACTGTGATTTCACAACATATTAGTAGCATTGTTATATTCATTGCTGTTTTCATAGATCTTTTTTGGGGCAGACTATCAGCACAAAATTTAATTATAAGTGGGACGGTATTAACTATTGTTGGATACATATTTTGGGATAAGAGTATATCAAAGACTGATCCTGCATATGAATATAAAAGTTTGTTTATTTTATTATCTAATGAATATAATCAATATTATCTTTTATTCAACTAATTTGATTTTACAGGATGGAAGACAGCCAAAGGTGCTGTTTTATTTTTTGTGACACTTTTGGGATTATCTCCAATCCTAAAGACACTAACAAAAGATACTAGTAGTGACACCATTTGGGCATTAACTGTGATACTGTTTCTTACTAATATGTTATTTCATGATTATGGTTCTGAGAATCGAACAAATATCAAGTAAGCCACATTATATTGTTTCCATCAAATGATTCTAGCGCGTGGACTTGTGATTTATGATTACATTTATTTTTATCGCAGATTTCCGGGTTCTGTATCAACAAATGCTGCAATCTTTGCATCTGTATTATTGGCATCACGATTAGAAGTAAATTCTCATGTATTTGGTTTGATGTTATTTGCCGTTGAATGGTTTGCTCTATTTCCGATCTTTCGTCGGTACACAAAAGTGGTTATTCTCTAAATATTCGTATATGTTTATTTCATTTCCATCAGTGTATATTAACCAATAGTTCTTTTATTTATCATATCTATTATTGTTTTATGCCCTTTTTCATAGAGTCTTTCGGCAAAATTCAATGTTGCATTAACATGTATTTTATTTGTTTTAGCGGCAACATTGTTTTTACGTATTTCAAATGTGATTGCTATTATATATGTTTTGGGTATTATTTTCATTACGTTTGCTTGTCCGTACTGGTTAATTTGGATACAAAAATACAAAAAGTAAATTCGAAATTTTTTCATGCCGTTGTTAGGTTTGTCATATTATAGATTATATTAATTTTAATTTCTGTTCAAAATAGTGAAATTCATGGGCCATGGGACGAGGCAAGACCAAAACTTCAACAAACTAGAACAAATCCTAATGAATAATTTTAAAGAATTTTCAAGTAGAGTCGGTGATACTATTTATATCTAATTTTATAGGTACTGTATTAGGTAAATATTAATATAGAAATTTGAATAGATATTATTATAGTTTAAATAATGATTAATGGCTATTAATAAAAGGAATGTTAACTCATTTGTAATAAAGCTTATATAAAAACATTTTTATTTGCATTAGTTATTAATCTGCCTGTCGTTATCCATGTAATATTAACTGACAAATCCTACATAAGGCGTCAGAAATTTTCGTGTATAGAACAAACAGATTATAAATTTATTAAATTGTCTCAATTGAATCAACCTAATTTTCATAGAATAAAAGTATTTGTTTTATAGAAATTTAATATAAGGGCGGCACTGCATATAATTTGTAATTTTACGTATTACTCGTGCAAGCTATTTTCTTAACACAATGTACAGATTAGGACGTTTTGTTAGACAATCACCAATATAATATGAAATTTAATGAATAACTTACGAATAAAAATCTCGAAACTAAAGAATATAACGTAAAATTTGTTTAACAAACTTAACAGCACGCCATAATACAGATATTTTTGTCCAAATTTTGGCATAGGTGAGGTTTGAACTTTAGACCTGCTGCTTGGAAGGTGACAACTTATCTACTACTTCAAGTCACCACATCAAATATTAGTGTTATTATTATTTTTTATACTATTTTTTTTGAATTCAATATTTATAAACTATTTTATTAGTTAGTTTTTTAAACAAAATTTCAATTTTTATAACTTGTTTCTTAAATTTATCAAACTTTTTTTAAAAAAATTATTTAAAAGAATCTTTTTTAGTTTAGTTGAGTATTATTAATTATTGCAAGATTGTAATATATGAAACCTATTTAATTTGAGTTAATTTATATTATAACTCAAAACCTAACCTTAACTATTTGTAATTTATTTAAATTAATTCAAAATAGTTAATACATATATATTATAATTATATAATAATCAAATTTGTTTACTTATACTAAAGATCAATCATTTGTAATTTTGTTTATTATAGTAAAATAATTTTTTTTTTTTTTTTTATAATGCCAAATTATAACTTATACTTTATTTAGTTTTTTGCATTACTATTACATATAGTTACATTACATTTGTGCTACTAGAATCTTTTTTGCTTCTAAATACTCAACATGACATTATACCTATATTTTCTTATATACTCTATTTTTGTAGCCTTTACTATGTATTTCAATTATCATTACTAAACTACCAGAAAGGCTATAGATCATCTTATTATATCTCTAATTTCTTTTACTTTTCTTACCCAGCAGCCTTTCTGTCTACTACTTACAGTAACTCATCTTTCTTTCAAGTTGGTTAATTCTGGTAATTTCTTGCACTTCTTGCTACCAGTTTGGTTTATATAGCCTAATTTATTTTTTAGTATTCTGATGACATAGTTGGATTTATCGAGATCTGAACTATCAATCTGCAGTTTATCATATACCCTTTTTAGATATATTTCCATAGTTGGTTTAGTCTGTTACTTGATTGCATATGCTTTCTGCAGGTTTTTCTGTAAATGTACTGCTAACTATGTACTGATATACTACTAGTTTGGTGTTACAAGAAAGCTGAAAACCTTGACTTATTATGTATAGGTATAATGCTCATCATCTAAGTTGTAATATATGACTGTTTAGAGAATATTCTTCAAGTTACTTTTAGAAGTATCTGACTAAGATGTTCCAATTTTGGTTAGATCAATTCTTTGTTACAGATCTTCTTTACATATATCACATCACTTATTACTTTAGTTTGGTTACATGGTATTATTCTTTCAATCAAGTACTTTATAAATTGGATACAAAAATGTTGATATTGCCCTGTCTTCTGGAGACTTATATGCACAATATTATTATAGCTGAACTTTTTGTAACACTGCTATCACCCATAGTACCTTTATTTTGCAGAGTCAATCTTCTTTTAGAAATTTTTAATCCATTCTTGTACTTTATCTTGAAACATTTCACAGGACTCTGCATTCAATTTTGGCTTCTTATAGGTTACAGAATTAAAATCCTAAGATTTTATCTTCAGTTTAACTTGAATCATTGACCTTGTCTGTAGAAGATTAGCAGCTTTACCATTAAGCTATAGAGCCTAATCTCTTAGTAAAATAATTAAAATAGATAATTATTATAATATTTTGTATATGAACTTTGTTTAGCAATATTTACAATAATAATAATAAAATCCATCAGATGCTTTAAGTATTACAAGACACTCTAAAACAATAAAATAATTAATTTAATTATAGTTAATTAATATTTATTAATTACTAAATAAATGCATAGTATTTTATGTTTAAAATAAATATTAAATTATAACTATATTATATTTACTATCTATATATATGTGTTACTCTTTAATTAAATGATCTTTATATGATGTAATCATATAAACAAACCTTGTATATTATCTTTTACAGAATAATATAATGTTCTTTACTATATTTTAGATAAATAATATAATATTTATTATAATATTATTATATATTTGCTATGTATTTTTATAATTATTTTTAGTTGTATTTAAAATAATATCTGTAATGAGATTTTTAAATATAAATTACTATAGAGAGTTTTATAGATGAACATATAAGTTATACAATGATATATATTTTATTTTTAGTTAAGATTTAAATTATTGCACAATAGAACATCAAGTATTGGTGACACAAATCATTAACTCTTTCTGACGATCACTTGTACCAAACTTTGCTGCAAACATTTGATTATTATTCAATATTTTATTAAATAAACTACTCTTGGACGCCTAAGTAAAGTTGTTTCTAACATAATTTTACACTTAGGCAGCCTAGTTATATATCTCTAGACCTCTTATTTACTGAGATATTTTTATTAAATATAAAAACACTTCTATTCAAGTTATCTTAAATTTTACTAATTAA